AGCCATGTGCGAAAGCATCACAAATCCCACACATAACAAATCATATAACCCGAATGAGTTATATGCGCAAAACAATAACATACCTGTGACTCATAACCATGTGTCACGTGAAAACCCTTTCCTCGCTAAGCCACGTTCGTGACACTCCTGTACTTCATTTTGCTTACCTGTTTCAACTTTTAGTTTTATTTTTACTAATTCTTTTTGTTATACTTACACTAAATTTGGAACCAGTAGGATAACTAGTAGAGTTCAAGTCACCTTGTCTCCTCTGTATAGTTGGTATTCTATAGTTGTTCGATTGAAGGATTCCGTGATGCTGTAATGATCCCTCTTCGGATGGTTAGTTCTTGGTGACGAGGAACGATAATTCTCTTCTCCTTCTTCTTTCTTTGTTTTACAATAGTACTAGGCCTTTACCTATGTTACTGATAGTACAAGACCTCTGTCTTCTATCAGGAACGCCTATTGTAAGCTTTTTCTAACTCTTCTCTGTGAAGAGCCTTCCGCTGTGTAACGATAAATATTGCAATAGAGATAAAGATTGTAAAGGTATTTTATATTCGTTAAAGTAATAAGTAGGAAAAGTACTTAGAACAAAGTGTGAAGAACCTATCCTCCTCGGCCGCATCGGCCTCCTTATATAGTGTTCTTCCCACCCATAGTCATGTGACCTAAAGTGGTCACATGTGCGAAACCAAATCATAACAAACTAATCATGTGACCAAAGTGGTCACATATTCAAAACCCATGACCTCATCGCAAGGTCATATGTAGAAACTCATAAACCAATCATAACATAATAAACAAGTCATATGACTCGAATGAGTCATATGCATGAAACCCATGACCTCATAATGAGGTCATGTGCAAAACATAAATCATATATGCAAGGCATACCCATAAGGCACACTCGCAAGGCATTCTCACCAGGCAAACATCCCATGACTCATAATCGAGTCATGTGCGAAACATAATATAATAAGTCATATGACCTTAATGAGTCATATGTGTGAAACAATAACATACCTATGACTTATAATCATGAGTCATGTGAAAACCTTTTCCGTGCCAAGCCACATTCGTGACAGATACCATTGAATGTAATCATCGAAAGAGACTTCTGCTGCTCCTTCAATTGTGCTGGTATCACTATTCGTAGTGAGATTGGAATGACTCATTTGTAAATGCGTTCGGTGTAACTTGAAGAGAGTTTTCAAAATCTTTGTTGGGAAGTGCTTCTGCTTTAGTTCATACTCTCTTATTTTTGTCACTTTCTATTCATTTATCTTTGACAAGTCATCATAATTCACTAAAGAAATCAGGTTTTTGTAAATCATTCTCACTCTAACATCATACTGTTGTCATCAGGATTGTGTTGTGTCTGCCAAGTTTTGTTCTGGGTTATTCTACACTAGAGGCTGTCGATCTCTTCAGTTGTTCTGGCCAGCTTAACACTTCCAACAATAACCCGGTTCCGCGCATACTCGATTTTTACATCCATATCCGAGTACAGTACTCGCAGCACCCGTTGGACTTAGATTGAGTGCTCTCTTGGCGTCAAACTGTGTGGTGGTGCTGGTATCAAAATACCGGCAACTCATTTTGACGGAATATCATACCCCCGACTTGTGCCCGGTCTTTTAGCACATTCTCATGACGCCTACTGGGTTCGTGCAAGGGGATTTATTATTCCACGGAGGAGTATAGCGGGTAGCGCCATACCGGTATTTAATAGCTGGGAATCGGTTTTGTGTTATAGCACTGTTTTTCCACTATCCATCTGCACTGATATCGTAAGGCCGAACGCATAAATGACCAGCAGAAACTCGGGAGATCCACTCGCTTACCATATTCAGGGTGCTGCATCTGATTTAGGAGAAGCAGGCCTTGATCCCCGTGCCGAGCGGGAGGCTTTGGGTTTCCAGCAGCATGATCCTGGACCTACAGAGATTGCCGCACGCATCACCGGGGCCGTTACCAGTGGAAAAGGGGGGACGATGGGCCATACTTTACCAACAATGAAGGCATTCCCTGACATGACCCTGCACATAGCAAGAACGTTGGTGTTTCCAGTGGCAAGTGGTACATTCTTATTCCAGAAACAGCAGACGTTCAACGGACCGAAAACTCTGGAACGTAAGAAAATTTTATACCCCGCCCTCTAATATTAACAATGGGATGGGTATGGTACATCCGGCCGGATCTGGTGCCTTTGGGTATTTCAAATGCACTAAGGACATGTTGGGATTTACAAAGGTATAAAGAATATTTAAACCCAGCTTCACACAACCTTATTTAACAATGATAGGCCGACCTGTAGAGCGGGGAAGGGAAAGAGACAGAGATATTCATGCATTTTTCAACCGCTACATTTGGCAAAGAGTTTCCGGACCAATGTCGTGACCCGCCCAGCTTTGCCATCAAGCACTATACTAAAGACTGAAGCTGCGATATTGTTGGACTCAATTGGGTTCGTGCTTGTATCTTTCGGTGGATGGGTGGGTACTGACCAATACTCGCTTGCATAGCCCGTTTTCTTCTGTCGCGACCCAATGCGGGGCCCGGATGTCATTAAATTTTGGTCTCAATAGCGCAACCCTGCAAACTTCCTGTTGGATTGTACAGGTAACCTTAAGGCCACATTCTGCTTTCTGGTTAATGTTCCAGAAAGGGATTTTATGAATGAGAGGTTGCTGGAGTGAGACTGATATAGAGAACCAGCAGCCATGCAGGCATGATGCTTTTTAGTAACCATGGGCATTCAAAAGGCTGGCGGAGAATGCACGGGTTTGGCTGTCACACTTTTAAATGGTGTGTATGGACGATTCCTGTTGCATACGCACTTTATCTGCGATCAGGGTTCTGCGCAGCTCGCCTAGGCTGACGCTATTCAGAGATGTGGTAAGGCCCAGTTTGTTGATACCGGGAGTTGGATAAGAATCTGTAGGCGATGATCCCGATTTCTCCAAAAGAGATCTCTGGCAAACTATAGAGAAAGGAGAGCTAGTCTCCTGGACGGCGAAAGCTCGAGTCATGAAACCCGAAGAGGCCGGCCGGGTGAAGCTCGGTTTCGATCCCTTTGACGTAATCGGGATTTGTCCAGGAATGGGATTTCCTGTTGGTCTCCTGGGAAGAGGTAAGACGCTTTGTACATTCTGCTGACTGGGCGATAGATGCAAGATTTTGGAAGACTCGTCTTGAACAAGAATCCGGAAAACTATCATCGCGATGTAGAGCAATCGGCTTTTTCTCCAGGAAGTATGGTCCCTGGTATCGAGGATAGCCCAGACATGCTTCTCCAATTCAGAATGGTCTTCTACCGTGATGCTCAGTATCATCGTATTGGCATCAACTTTCACAATGTCCCAGGTAGGATACTATCTCCTACCTTTCTCCTACTGATAAGACTACCCAGTAAACTGCCCCTTCAGGTCCCGCTCCAACGCAAGCATGAGCTTTGGTGGCCCCTTCCGTAGCGACGGGAACATCAGCGGAAACCCTCACTATGCCCCCAACAGCTTTGTCAATAAATTCCGTCCCGACACCGCCGAAGCGCCATACTAAGTATCCGACAATGTCATCTCCCGTCAAGGCCATTATTCTAAGTGCACGCTTGGGGAATACAACCAGGAGCGAGAGCTCTATGTCTGCGCCATGAGCGGCAGGGGGCATGTAGGCCTCCACCATAATACCGCTGCTGCCCTGGGGTTGGTAGAGTATCTAATCATTCAGATGAAATATCTTGCGCAATGCTATTACATTCAGCCCGAGTGTGCTCGGGCTATTTACGATTTGTTGCCTGGGGAGCTTGGTTTTGGGAAGGTGGAAGAGATGGCGGAGGATGCGCCTAGCTTTGGGAAGGAGAGGGGGTTCACCTCATTTAGGGAGAACCTTTGGTTGGCGAGGAGGCCTGCCATTGTACAGGCCTATCAGATGTGCTCATAATGTCCGAGCGCTCTCAAGGACTGCTATTGTAATCAACAAAGTTTGGCCCTTTGGTTGGGTCTGGGTGATCTTCTGCTACACTGTAAGAGCTCAAGTGGAAGGAAAATGAGTTAGGATCAACCTGGTTTTTATTCTACTAGGAATCCACTTAAAGGTGTTTCTAATATGCTAGGACGTTGGAATTCCCCTTCCCGGCCATGTGATGGGAGAATACCGAAAAATTGGCCCCCAGTTTAGACAAAAGAGAAATAGGCATAGCGCCTTACTAGGGGAGGCGACTACAGCCCTCTAGCTCATTTTCCTTCCATTTGAGTTTTTACAGTACTGTACTTGTATTGTGGGACTCGTATATGGCCGCCGGGCGCTTTGCGGCTATTGCATAGACAAATTTCGTGACGGTGATTCCAGGGTAATATATTAGATTAAGCGCGATGCGGCCAATAGGTCGTTGTCCTTGTATTTATAGACTCTGACCCCTCTGTGCCATAGCAATCGTCAAGGAAGGACTCCCCTTCCAACAACTTATCGGAGGAGTTCCCACAGTACTCTAGGAAGGAAGACCTGACGAGGGAGTTGAAGGGGGTGGACCTGGACACGGTGTGCCTGATCCCTCTGGCAATGGGGGGGGATGCAGATATGGCCCGCGCGATGCTGGAGGCCACCAACGAAGCTGGCACGCCAAATTTGCAGTCCATGAGTTCGGCCAGCGCGGGCATGGCAGGCCTGCAGAAGCAGCCGGGGCTTAAGGAGTTTATCAGCTTGGACGATGCGGCTTTGGCGTCAAATGGGGGTCCTGGTGCTGCGGCGGACCTTTCGCCTTGCCTTATTAGGTTTGAGAGAACCCATCCTCTTGAGTGTTGGGAAGATCCACCAATTATAAAACTGGTGGGTTAGGGCGTGCGTTTAGGCCGGGAATCTGCTGCTGCGTAATAAACAGGATTAAGCTCGGGGCGCACCTCCTTATTAGTCTAACGCTGGCTGGGGGCATGCATAGACTCGCGCTTGTGGTATTAGGTGGTGTCGCGCAGCCTGCTTCACACTTTCTTACCGGCTAGCCGGGACGAACCGGCCACCACAACTGGATAAAAGCTGGGAGCCGGGGTGGGGTGCAAACGGGTTTCTGGGCATGCTATCTCTAGCTCTCCCACTCTATTTTTCCTTTCCCTCTCAGCATAGTCTACAAAAGCTAAGAATGCTGATAGATTTATTTGCAGAGTGGAGACGGAGAAAAGCATCGGCGAGGAGACAGATATCGACGGCGCCGGGAAGTAGTACTCGCTAAAAAAATATTCCCTCGTCTGTGAAGGGAAGGCTACTTACATATCTACTTGTTCCTTCCACAGAATTGAGCGGACTTTTTCAAAGCTTATTCTGGAGAATGGTTGTATTCACAGGGGAGTTTGGAGTCTGTGCGGGGAATATAATATATTAGTTTTTTCCGGAGATGTTTTAACAATGTCAGATGTTTTGATATTTTGAAAGTTGAGGTGATTGTAGGATAAAGTAATTTTCTTCACCAAAAATCACTCTCTCAACTTGACAAGGTGTCTGTTGGAATACGATATAGGAATACGATACCATAATCATGCGAGCCTCGGGGAGTCCGGGAGCTTGGCCGGTGAGCTAGCATACTACTATAGTATTTGGAGGTCTATGGGATTCCGAATACCGATAACCCGTGTAGGGGTTACTTGGGGTATATAGCAAGGCACTTTGAGTGCCATAGCCGATACAGCAATCCTCCTGCCTCAGCCCCTCTCCTGCTTGTCGATAACTTATCCGTCCCAGAATCGCAACGGGTTCGAAGTCACAAGAGTTCATGTTAGATTAGCAGCCAAGTTATGAACACCACCGGTCACTCGTTAAGCTTAGCAAACGACCGCTAGACCAGCGGTAAAATCAACCTGTTCTCCCAAAATCCCGCTATGTCACATAGGAGGCGATCGATATACCGTAAATTCACACTAACCTGACGTCAGTCCACAATCACAACCGCCGGAAAATCCTTGAACTTAATCAAGCCAAGCCGACCGTGGCCGAAGTCACCTATATATCTTACCGCAACAGCGGCTTTTCCCGCCGCGAGCCCCGTGCCACCGACGGCGCAGAGTATCCTGTAAAAAATCAAGGTCCGGCAAAAGTAGCGACTCCTAAGAGCTAGGTATCGCCCATCCGGGCGCTGAGGATGTATAATCTGATGACCTAGTCGATGGGAAACGGCACCATAGTGTTCCTAGGATATCGTAACTTACTCCCCCAAGCATATAAAAACCCTTTCGTGCTGGTTGGTTAATGAGTGAATGATGGGGGGAGGATAAGGGAAGTAGACCCCAAATATATAAACAGTAGTGGTAGGGTTGCTCGAGAGCCCGGGGTCGCGGCGGGTGGGGCTAGGTATCTGAGAGATGTGCAGCTCCACCCCGGAGGCGGGAGTAGGGGTGTAGAGGGGCATACGGGGAGTGAGAAGGGCGTACTGGGTCAGGATGCACCGGTTGATCCTAGTTATTAGGTTGGCAGGTAGGGGACATCGTGTGTACCATCAAAAACATCCATTTTGGGCCCTGGATTTTGTGTCTTTGGGGAGATATGAGGGGGTGGGGTGCTGTGTTTATGGTTGTGCTCCCTTCCGGTTGTGTATATACTAAATTTTTGAAAGAGTCTAGCTTGGTACTCGAGTACAAAGGATAGTGTCGGTTAGGAGGGTCCAGGAAACTGTTCCCAAAGGACGACAGCGCAATTGCCGTAGAGGAGGAATGGGGTTTAAATCCTCACCCCCGGTATCTGACTGAGTGTGGAGCAAAAATATCCCCGGGTATTATCTATTAGTTGAGATAGTACCTTAGGTCTATTCAATATGATAAGGTAAAAATGAATTGACCAGCAATACTTATACATTTAAAAGAGTCAGGAAGAGGGTAGTACAAGGGCAGCAATCTGCATTGGTGGCATGATTGCGAGAAGGATTTGGCTTTCTCTTGCCGGGAGTATCAAGGGGGATGGAGAATTGTATGATATGGGAAATCTTTAGCTCTATGGGTTAAACTCTATCTTTGTAAGACAAGGTGATTCTCGCCAAAGGGCAGGGAAGAAACCATTCCTGGATGAGTATGATATGATAAAAAAATCATTTATCATACGCTTAAATTTTGCTCTCCAGTATCGGCGACACTGGGCAAAGGAGAGCTGACACTGAGTTATTTGAATGGATGATGTTAATTATGTATGGATGACCTGTGCCAACGGGGCTGCCTAGGTCCCCTAAAAAGAATTCAATTATGGTATGATATGGCCAGCTGCATCTCACTGTCCCACTGCCTAATCCCGCCACGAGTATGATATCTTGGTGTTGCACCCCTTCGCCAAGACCTTGAGACACAAACCAAATTGGCCCTCCCCCACTTCGCCCCTCTTCTCTACTCGAGTGCTCGAGTACGAGCAGATGCGATAAGGCTTAAAAACCCCTACAGTTATTGGGGGCGAGCAATCACAGGTCAACCTTAGCGTGCTGATATAGTCTGTAGTTATCCGTTCTCGTGCTTCACTCTTCATCGAGTTACCGTTATCGTGCGAGCCGGTGAAAGTCGCTTTTCTACCGAGAGGTTAAAATAAAGTGTGGCTTATGATAGGATTCTTCATAAAGCTAGTGAATACCGGTGGTTAAGTTACAGTTACAGTAGGTTAACCCGCTGAGTAACCTTTGTTATGCACGAAATCATTCTCCCCGGGGCACTTGCACATGGTTGCGAGTACTGTACTAGGGGAGATGTTTCCGCACATGACAGGGTTATTTTGCTGATCAACTTTCCCTGCCTTGTACTGTACCTGTACAGTGCGAGTACCGGTATCATACGAAAACTTCTCCCCGGGAACTATAAACCAAATTTCCTTGCGAATTTGACAAACATCCAAAATCTATGGCACAGTGCACTACCGGTAGTATAGTACCGGGTTTTCTGGACCACTGGAAGCAGAAATCCACGGCACCGCTGGGGAAATATTAGCCATGAGCACTACTGTACTAGTAGTCAAGTAATCACTCTCAACAAGTGCACGATCTAGAACGACTATGTCGTACTCATGTGCAGTACTGTACTCGTACAACTACTCGAGTCCGATTAGGCAACTTACTGGTACTGTACCACAACTTGTGCTCGACCGTTTCACGCAGCTACCGTACCTTCCCCCAGAACACAAATATTTCCTCTGGCAACTTGACTTTCAGCCTATAACCTAGACCCCATCCCCCACACCCCGAGTCCCTTCCTCCGCACATGGCACCGCCTGGGGTGGATACTTATCGGAAACATACCGGCTTTGCTAGTGCCACAGAACCCCGTCTTACTAGCCTGTTTGGAATAGGGCGTCGAAGGTTATTATCGGTTGATCTCCTTTTTTGTTTTTTTTATGCAAGATGGACTTTCTGCTTCGCACCATACCTTCCGCCATCTTTCTCTATTGCAAGAGGATGAGGTAGTTCTGTCTGCCTTGGGATTATCTATGGGTTGTGTGTGGTGTATCGTACGGGGCTGAGGTGAAGGAGGTGCGACTGGCCCGCTGGCAGCTTCCGCCGCTCAGGGGGCAGTATCCCGAGGGCAACTCTGGTTGAAGGTTCGCCTGGTTTTCGTCCATCATCAGAAAAGCGCGAAGGCTTTTTGCCCTTCGTACCCGTCTGGTCACACCCACCAAATTTTGACCACTCAAAACCGGGATTACCTCACTGACGCCCGCACACCCTGCACTCTAAGTTTTGGAGGATGCCGGAGGCAGGGCGATTTCGTACAGGTGGTGCGGCAGGCAGGCATTGTGTCCGAGGGGCAATGTACGAATTCGCGGCGATCCTTTCTCGACACCTTCCCGCCTCTCCTTCTTTCTGGCCGGGTGTTTGGCTGAATTTGGTGGAAATGTCTCTCTACATTGTTGTGCTGGAGCGTTGTACTCGTACTGGCACAGTACTGTACTCGTACTTGCTTGTAGTGTCTTAAACTTCATTCCAACGCGAAGTCACGGGGGACCGCCATTCCAGCCTCCTCGGAAAACACCCTGAAACCCCCCTTCCCAAGGAAGTAGAAAAACCGAAAAAATAGCGCTAAAGGGATCCCCATAATAACTAGTCCTTATAAATAGCGCAAAAGCAATGGCCAAAGTAAAAAATGTAGAAGTCAAAAGAGCAAGAAATAAGGGAAAGACATAGGGTGTGAACATCCTCCTTTTCTACTGGCTCATCACAACTTTCCCCTTCATATGATATTAGCCTGGGAGTACCGCAGACAAGTCCAGATCAAGCAACTTGACCGAAGGTACGCTCCCCCCTCCCCCCGGCTTTGCACCTGAGACTCCTGGCTGTGCTGCTATCGTTTGCGACCTAAAGACCAGCAAGGATTAATTGGGTTGGGTCAAATCTAATGAGGGTTGGATGAGGGAGTTGCCGAGAGAGAGTTGCGCAAGGTGTTGGCGAGGTGAATGTTACAGGAAATATGTATGTACCGTAGGAATGTAAGTATTATAGGTGCTATGGGTATAGCATCGGAGGTAGATATAGAGCGGTGGCGTAACTTATGCTAAGTAGGTATCGGGTTGCAAGTGCTAACTGGTAGTCGCATACAGAAGAACAATCGAGCCCATCAGTCAATCCGCCTCCTGCAGATGGGCTATGCTGGGTGTCTGAATTTAGATGGAGCGCGAATTACCAGATTTAGGGGAGTAAGTAAGGCATTGCTTGCGGTTCTAAGGGGAGTAGGTAGGGATGTGGGAGGAAGGAAAGGATAGACCCTATCAAGTATAGCACCCGTCTACCCAACGGTCTAGCATATAGATATCTATCATACATCATACCCGCTGAGTGTCTCGGGTCGATCCCACACCCTATTATATAACCATACCAGAGGTCCCAATTTATTCCCCTCCCTTCTCTCTTCTCACTCCATCTTCCGGTTCCAGCATCAGTTTAAATCTACTACAACACACCATCACCCACCACGAGGTTATGTCCAACATGTCGGAGGAGGAAAAGGTCCCGGGATACGTATTCGGTAAAAAGGAAGGAGAGGGCGGCGACCTCGAGAATAGCAAGTCTGGTGAAGCTGTTCCTTACACCGGGCTAGTGGACGGAAAGGAATTCGGACACGTGAGGAGGGGTCTGAAGGCAAGACATGTTCAATTTATCGCTATTGGGGGCATCATTGGGACGGGGTTGTTTGTTGGCTCTGGTGCTGCGCTGGTTAGGGCCGGACCATTGAGCATTCTTTTGGCTTATACTATCGTTGGCACTGTTATCTATTCATTGATGTTGGCTATTGGAGAGGTGAGTTGTCTTTTCCTTTCCCTTAGTGTCCTTTGAGTTCTGTTTTTGGGCGATTGAGCTAATTCAATGTAGATGACTACATGGCTCCCTATTCCTGGGGGTTTGACGGTTTATGCACACCGGTAGGCTGGCTCCTTTTGATATCTAAGACGAACTCAGCTACAGAATATTACTGACTGAACAATCAGCTACCTAGACCCCTCATGGGGATTTGCTATGGGATGGAACTACTGCTTCGGAGCAGCTATGACAGTTTGCGCCGAAGTATCCGCTGCGCTACTGCTAATAGAGTATTGGACCGACGATGTAAGTGCGGTTAACAACCAACTAATAGTTTCCACTTCTAACACCTGGGAAGGTAAACAAAGCAGTCTGGATTGTCATAATTCTAGTCGTAATATTCCTGCTCAATATCTTCGGTACCTTAACACGCCACCGGGATCAAAATCGTTACTTGTAGCAAAATATGGCTAACAATAGCTAGTCGTCGAGGGTTACGGAGAAGCCGAATTCATATTCGCAAGTGTCAAAATCATAACGATCATTGGCCTCTTATTCTTGGCGGTGATCCTTTTTTTCGGTGGTGGGCCAAGTAAAGATCGCATCGGTTTTAGATACTGGTTAGTGTTACTGGAGCCTTTGCGCAGCTGGACCTCGAGGGGCTGGACGTCTAGCCTTATCGTTGATTTACCTTAACGTTACAGAGCGATGGTGTTCTAATGTCCTTTGGAACGCACCCTTCGATCTCGTTGTTCAAAGGCTCTGCTATCTGAAATATTTACCGACTGGTCTGTTGCTGCAGCGTCTATGCTAACACTATCCAGGAATAACCCCGGCGCCATGAGGGCCTATCTCGTCCCTGGTAACACAGGTCGATTCTTGGGTTTCTTGAAGTCTTTCGTGAACGCGTTAGTTGAACCTATCTTTTTATTTTGAAAAAAATATCGTTATATATGGACTAGCAAGCGACAAGAAAACTATTCACGTATGACTGATATAACTTGGAACAGTTGTTTCGCATTTGGTGGATCAGAGGTTATCTGCGTCGCCGCGAGCGAGACTTTGAACCCTAGGAGAAACATACCCAAGGCGGTTCGCCGTACTTTCTGGCGTGTGTTGATTTTCTACGTTTTTGGTGTTTTCGCTATTGGTGTCTTGGTAGGGTTTCCGCTGCACGGGAGAAAGATTTCCCATTTCCCCGAGAATGAATAGCTGGTAATTGTCGTAAAGGTCCCATACAACGACAAAGGGCTAACCACTGCTCTTAAAAGTGGTGCTCCCGGGGCTGCAGCTTCCCCATGGGTAGCTGCGATCGTCAACGCCGGAATCGGTACGTTATGCTTGTTGTTTCCTTTCGGATAAGTAGATTCCCTTCATGGACTCACATTTGTGGAATTAAATAGACGTCCTCCCGAGCATCATCAACGCCGTCATCTTAACGTCCGCCTGGTCCTGCGGTAATAGTTTCATGTATGCGGCCTCCCGCAATCTCTACGCCCTAGCCATCACCGGTCATGCGCCCAGGGTCTTTGCGAAATGCAGCAAGCGGGGTATCCCGTACATCGCCGTTGTGGCCGTTTTCTCACTCACTATGCTTTCGTTCCTGTTGCTGTCCGAGAAGTCTGCAGTTGTATGTGTTCCTCCGCAATCTCCCGTAAAAAGGGGGAGCGGGAGGGAGGTTGACTAACTTGATTGGTTAGGTCTTTGATTGGTTCATCAACATCACCACTGTGTCCAGTTTGTTCAATTGGTTGACTCTATTCCTCGCTACTATCCGCTTCCGAAAGGGATATCTCGCGCAGGGGGTGACTCGCGCAGATCTGCCGTTCCGGTCACCATTGATGCCCTATGCTGCATACTACGGGTGTGGAATGGTGGTTTTCTTCATTGCCATTAGCGGCTTTGACGTTTTCTTCCCAGAGGAGTGGTCTGCTAAGACATTTTTTGCAAAAGTAGTTTCCCCTCCCTTTCTTAATGGCACGATTCGATGGGTGGCTTACTTCAGTTTTTTTTCCTCGGTAGTACGCCGGCGTTCTCCTATTCATGGCCCCCTTCGTTTTTCACAAGATCTGGAAGAAGGATAGTCTTACGCCTCCGGAGACAATGGATATCTGGACTGGTAAGGAGGAAGTCGATATCTATGAACGGCAAAATCCCCCCCCGGAGCCGAAGAATACGTATGATCCGCACTTACTTTTTTTTATAGAAAAAATTAGATGTTTAACACTAACATGCTGCGCAGTTGGGAGAAGATCTGGTTCGCCATCGCATAGTTTTCCACAATACTCTACTTTCAGACGTGCAATTTGTATTTGGTTTGGGAAGTTTATGGGCGAAGATATGGGCTCTGATGTACATGTTAATATCATCGTTATCTTTCTGGTAAATGTCACTGGAAGGTGGGTGACCCTGGGTGATTTTCGATATTGCAACTCCCGTAAAACTTGAAGTGGGTATGAAATCGGATGCCAAAAGCGCGTTTCATCCCTGCCCACTGATAATTAGCGCTCACGTCCCAGAATCTTCACAAAAACTGGAACCAATTTCAACATGAAAAGTCTGCGAAGCACAGAAGATGCTAAAAGATCGCGGGGGCACGGAGATCTATGTTCAGGCAGATCTACCCAGAGGAGAACGGTATTCCTCTCATTACTCTTAAACCCCTTCTGATGATAGAGACTCAGTCTGCCAACACCCAGCCATCGAACATCACTCAACACGCTAACCTTTCTATTTGGTTGGAGGAGAAAAACTAAAAGCTGGGGTACCGCCTATACCTCCGATCTGCTCTACCAGCTCCCAACATGCTTAATATCCTCGAAGGTAATTGCACTAGACCGACTTGAAGAAAGTGCCACCTTATAATATTACCATAATTATTATTCTCTCATCTTTATTTCAATATATCATAGTTCTATCAATAACCCTCTTCATAAACTCCTCTTACCTTCCTCTACAGTACAGTACAGAGTTGGCATAAAAATCTGGTCCGAAATGGGATAACACTTTTGTCTCAGCCTCGTTCAGGTTTTGGAGGGCGCGAATCATACCTTATTTTTCCGAGCTTTCCCTCTTTGGGGAGGGGGGGTGGTGAAGAGTATCAACGGCGTTATGATAGTATCACATTTTTGAAGGGATGGCAGCGAGTTACGTTTGGGAAGAAGGGACATAGGGAGGATCACGGTCAGAGTTTCGAGGGCTTGGACTTTGAGGTTGAGAGTTCTGGGGTTGGTGTCTTTAGGCGCTGAGTCCTCAGGTTTAGGATCGCTTGACACGTTATGGCGTTTTGTGGGTGGTTGGGTCAGGGGGTGGTACAGTACTGTACTCGAGTAGGAGTGGGTTTTAGTTTGCCGTAGTTGTTGCTCGTCTGGGGTTCTGCGCCTCGGGCTTGGGAGTGTTGGAGATGGCGGCGGCTGCTGGCGTTTGGCTTCGTTGAGCCCACCCCGACTGGCGAAGCCACCAGAACGTGGCATAGCTATTGTAACGCCCGGGGACTGCTCAACCGGGGGTTCTTGAAAAATAGGATCAGAGATTCCAGTATCGTGGGATGTCACTCACCGCATATGTTGTTGGATTTAGGTGTGCACAGTAGTTTTGTTTCATCACCAGTTTCCCTTCCAATAGTCTCGCCTCAATCGACTTCTCCACCACGAGTATTTTCGTGCTTGGAATCACAGTAAGCGGTCAAACAGGTTTCCGTGATTACAGAGTGAGCTCTGCGAAAACGGCGCGGACGAGGACAGATATATTTATTTCGGATTATTCATTCCTGACGGCGAAGTCGAAGTAGAAGCGGGCTACTCCAACGTTTTGTCTGCTGCCCCCCCCCCATGCCATGAGGTATCTATCACCAGGGAACTAACATCGCAACTTGCAAGCGCTGGCTTCAGTCATCTATTTCCTGAAAAATATTCTCTAGATCCTAATATCTCCTGCCGCCTCCCGGAATAACAATGCGCGGCCATCGGCTCCCCCTCCTCCATTGCCATCACACTAGCTTCTGACCCTCTCGGTTTGTAGGAGCTGGCCCCCCACGTTATCGACCTGGGGGTTCGAATACCATGATGCTGCTGTAGCGGGGGTCCAATGGAGATGGCTAGGTTAGAACTCCGAAACAACTATCAATAACATTCAAGTTAGAGCTATTCGACGGGTTGATAATTGTGTTAGGGGATTTGACATTCTCGCTGAAGTATTTGGACATTTCCTCTGTTTTTCACTGCTGGATCACTATATGGGAATTATTGGACTATGGAGAATCAGGATGATCGTGTACAGTACAGTACCGGTACAGCACCTTTTGCGGTACCTGAGGATAGTCCAATCGATCCATCCGGAATTTGTGAAACCGATATCAGCCTTTTACTTAACCTATTGGCATGAAGTGATACCACATGTTTCTCTACCTAGTTTTCTGTGCGGTAGTCTTGACGCTGATTGAGGACGGAGAGATAAGACTACCGTATAAATTAACTTAGAGCTGATTTGCACTGTACGAGGCTATCTTCGGAATTCGCTGACACCTCCCCCATTTTACACCAAAAATGGCAGATTTTAAACATGCCCAATTCATCCAAAAGCAATGGAGAATTAAGGAGATTAATTCCATTGTGTGGGGAATTACCTAGAATCTCTGCATAAAAACTATTCCAATTTTTCCACTCCACCTTGAGATCTGAGAGCTGCATGGGCAGATTGGATGCTGTTGCAATGTACCTTTTGTATGGGGAACCCATATAAAATTAGAAGTATCTTATATTCACAATTGTTATTTCTTGTATTGTGCCATGGCCATCAACCAACAGAGCTTGTCACTTATGAATAGTGATATATTGATGGCTCCAAAGGCTCTAGCAAATTTTTAAAAATTTTTTATAGGGTGACAAAGCTGAGATTTTGCAAAGTAAAAAAGCCCATTTTTGGTGTAAAGTGGGGGGGGGGTGTCAGCGATTTTTGAAGGTATAATAGCCTCGTACTGTATTACAACATCACTTGCATTCACTGCTTCCCAACATTGTGGAATGCGGCCAAAGTTACCCTTATTTGATACAGTCGGCGGAACTCAATAGTCCATTTATTCCGCAGAGGGCATATCAGCAAATTTAAACACCGAGGTTCCAACCCGGCTCCCTCATTCTTTTGGAAAGGAACAGCTATCCGGTAGCAGGGCCGAAACGAAACGGCTATGACTAAAGGCGCTGTGAAAAGTCTTCACAACCGAAAGCGGGGTAGTTCACACTCTCGCTCCACAACCTGTTCGGGGACATGCTTTTATTCCACGACTCTCTTGCTGGCTCAACTAACTAACAAGATAGGAATAGATAGGAGTATAAATAAGCGACAAAAAGCATCCTCATGTCCTTTCCTCCGCTCACCATACGTGTCCACCGCCTTCTGCGCTTGTCTGTCGGCAATCACACACATCCCCTACCCTCCCCGCCCGTGTCTCCTTTTCCTGCGCACGCTTCTCCGCTAACAAATGAAATAGAATGGAAACACTACAAAGATTACCCGCGGCCATATGCCTTCCGCACTGACAAAAGAAATAGAGGAATAAAGACTCCCGCTCCGGCACTGCTCCGACGGGTACTTTCCTTCCTTCTACGGATGCACTATGGCAAAGCACACATGTGAAAGCCTTTGAACAGACGAACGGATATGCGACAGCAAGGAACAGATGCGTAACGGCGGATAGACGGATGGCAGATAGATGGACGGGTAGGGAGGCGGACGGATAGATAGACGGACGGGCAAGGGGACAAAATCATGAGCATGCCGAGCAGCATCCATTTTTCCAACGAATTCCACTTGTCTATACAGCTCTCGGAACAGATATGGGAGAGTCCTCAATCATGAAGCATCGTCCATGCCATCCCGCAGTCCCCATTGCCCTGAATCTCCCGATTCTGTCCCATGTCATCACCTGCCGGCCCACTGTCCGAGCCGAAGACCTCCGTGAGCGGACTACCATACATTGTTCAATCTCATCCGTGGTCTGTGGCAGTCCCCATTCTAGGCCCTGCGGGGCCTCCTGTTAATGGGTTAGCCCGGGGAGGGGGGAGGGCCGAGCCGACCCGGCGCAAGTCCAACGAATATTCAGCTCTCTCACCCAATTAAAGAAACAATTTGACTTGCGCACAAGGGAAGAGCGGTAAATGAATAAATATGTATATATATATTATATCATATGAATTTCAAGCGATTACAGCACAGGATTAATAGTGAGAACAGAGAGTGGCCGAAATGGCGAGTAAAAGGATATTATGCAGTTGCAGATGGTATTTTTCTTCGACGCAATGGCTCAGGTTCAGCTAGGAGGACCACCAAATTCGGAGGCACTGGGTTGACTCGATTCTCTGGATTGAGAGGACGTGGGTCGGAAATAATTGTCCTCTTGGTCCCGGAGTCTAGTTCGGAAGACGTTGTAACAGAGTAAGTTATGGCACATGTTCAAAGTATCGGGTATCCCTTTCGTCGGCGATCCTCCAGCCACCACTTGCCGGAATGAGATTAACACATGAATGATTTGAAACTCCAACGGGTATGTGGAGGACTTGAGAAAGCAAACAATTGTAATTATATTATAAGTTATCAGACTTTTTAAACCTTAAACCCGAGCGGTACATAATCTAGGAGTAACCAAAGCCACCGTGACGGCTTAGCTTTTCATGAAACAGACAATCTTGATCTCGACAGGCTTTCGCTTGCAACATTCTACTATAGTCTACTAATAGCAAATGCTCTTTTATAATTCCGGGCTCGGACTATAGTTTCCATAGTAATACGAACTTGAAAATATCACCAAAGCTTCGAAATAAAGGTAACACATTGGTCGGGTTCGCCGGGCAACGCCGGCTTCGGGCTTTCCGACCCGGCCCAGCCCAAGGAAGCCCAAGGACGCCCAAGGCTGAGCCTAGCGCAGCCCAACGAAAAGCCTGGGCAGACCCAACGAAGGCCCGACTTATTGGAAGGCTTGTCTCCGGGGCATCGGGGTGGTGACCGGAAGCTCTGTTTTGAATTTTCAACCGGGTTAGAGATATCCGGAGATTCCTTTTGTTACTTGTTTTTTCCCCCCTTCCCTGGCTTCCTTGTTCGGCCTGACGCGCTAGGGCGGAGGAAAGATAGACAATTGGATGGGTTCTAACTTCTCAGATCGCCAGATGTTTCATTTTGAAAATCACAAGACAGTGCATAGATAGAGATAGTAATAGATAGATCGACACTATAGGGCAGAAACACCACAAACAACCTACAACCGACTCCCACAAATCCC